AGAAGATTTTGTGGACACCAATGAGGTACAGTATTTCGTTGAATCACCCAGAAAACGGTTGTCTTCAGGAACATTTCTAAATTAAAGAACTGAGTGTGATTCATTGAGTACACAAGTATTTGTTCTGCCCGTGAGAAAGAAATTCTCCACTCTTTGTCTTCATAATCGCCTAGTTTGTGTCTAATTGGTACATCCACTTCTGATGATGTCGCACACAACAGGAGACTGGGGTAAAAGGTGACATCTGTCAATCCAAGAGGCAGCAGGTTGAGGCCAAAGGTCAGAGGCAAAACAGTAAGCAAAATCTCATTCTTCTCCAGAAAGAATTCCACTGACGCAGGGTCCATGTGGAGTAAAGCTAGGAGGTATTATTGGACGCTTGTTTTCTCTGTAAAGAGAACTAGATATGAAAAGGTTATCATTCCTTCTGACAAGTGCTGAAAAAATGTCCCATCTTGCTATTGCTATAATGCGCGAAGATGTTCTTATGCTGTGTACTGGAAGAAAAAACTGAAGTAATGAGAATCCTGGAGGACATTCGGAACAGTCACAATGAATTAATGTGTATTTATGCTTGTTGTAAAACTGAGTCTGAGATAAGTTCCAGATGACTCGTTCGTCATTTGATCAGTATATGATGTCTAAATCTGATCCTTCCAGTCTGAATCCTTCTCTGTAGATTCCATTTGTCATTTAAGAGTTTAAGGTAGGACAAAACACCCGTGGATTCTATTTTAACCCATTTCTTAAAAAAGTACTGGAGGAAAAAAGAGTAATATTACTATACTGACAACAATGAATGATCCCTGAAAGAAAAATAATACGTTTTGGCAAATTTGCGTTATATTTTGTGAAAAAATCAGAGAATCCTATATATTGGTCATTTGGGAGCTTACATTTTGGAATGTGTTTACGCTACCTAAGTGCAATAAACAAGCATGTAACAGTCTGTTATAAAATGCAGTGCAACTTTTGTTCCATAAATAGTAGAGGGCTGATATTTGTACACATATATGAGGAGTCTCTATTCTTTATGTACTACAAAGGTTAAGGTCATATCAAGAAGTCAAAGGTCAAATATTGTGACGTCATCTACTGAATCTTTTAGTTTTTTGCCATTGAATTTTTTTTAAATCACCAAAATATCTGAAACCACCGGTTCAATTTTCTTTATTTTTACACATTTTATTTTAGGACCCATTTGAATCATTCTGTTAAATTTTTGTAAAAATTGAATTATACATTTTCTCTTAAGAAAGCTTAAACTGTCGGATATTTACATGTGAATTTTTAGTTTCTGACACAATGTATGTTCTTTTTTACTTAATATTTTACCCAAATTTTCCAGTATCAATGTGACTTACTGATTTAAAGTAAGAAAAATGTTCTCTTTATTAAAAGTATTACACAAATTTGCAATAGCTCAATAGAACATTCTAAAATAAGGCTCATTCTGAAGTCGAATGTCTGATTTCACAAACTTCTTACAGGGGTCTGAAATGCCATATTTCAGACTATGTGGGCAAAAAATGTGCGGTTGAATTTCTTTCATATCATATATAAAGAGAGATTCTGTATCCAAGAACAAAATATCAAAGTTTCAGAAAAATTGAATTTGAGGAAAAATTTGACCTATCTATTTGGTCCTACCTTAAATCACCATTGACGTGATTCTGCACAATCTCCGTTGTGTCCTTCACATCTCTCCTCATGGCCACCTTATGCATGTGTTATGAGAGGTCCCCCTTTATGACCCCCTTTATGACTTAGTCCCACAAACACCGACTGTGTCGATGTAAATTGTATGGCTAATTCACTTGCAATGCAAAAAAAGGGAATTAAAACAAAAATATTTTCAAAATTCTTGAAAGAAAGTGTTCTTTTCATCCTTAGTTTTGAAGTTGAAACATATACTTGTTTGACTTCTATATTCAATACTAGAACGACTTCTTTGAAACACTTACGTAAAAGATTGTTCATTTAAATTCATTCTTCAGATAAGATTGATAAATTTTTTGTACTTTGTTTTATTACAGGGAAATCCTGCAGTACTTTAATTTCTCATGCTTCCTTTTTTACTATTTAAATTCATGACTCAATGATAACCAGAGTTTTTCCATATCATCATAATTCAAAGAAGGGATGTACTAGAGCACGTACACAGTGTGTCACATACAGAAATGTTCATAATGCTACCAGTGTATTAAATAACTAGTTGAATTTATCTACTTTATCTTGAACCTTGTTAATTTTCAGTTTCATAGGATCAACTTTTTCAGGTTCTTTTGAAGAAGACAGAAGTTTTGTCTTTGCATATCTTTGCTCATTTTAACCCTCGGTATCGCCATTTTCCTATGTTGTCTTTTATAAATACTTTTTTATCATGTACATAACAATTCTAAAAGAAATTTCATTTATTTTTAGGTCTGTTAGTATATACCACGTGACAGATAAGCTGACGGAATTTGCTTACAGAAAAACTTACACAGTCAGATAAGAAATTGGACTTTAATACATTTTAAACAAGGGACTTCAGGGAAAAATTATACGGTAGGCTGGTCGACTAGGGATTCCTCGTGAAATAAACTGTACTTACAATTGTAAAGCACTTTTATTAATATAATCAAATTTAGCAAATCAGAATAAAGTAATTAATGTTAAAAATCGATTGTTGGAATAACTGTTTTTAAACGTTTTTACTGATAGGTAGATGAGGTTCATTTTAGTATGTTAGTGACATTATTTTAAGGCTGATGTTCTTTAAGAGATAGTATTTTATGGAATTGCACTATTCGGTTAAGAGAGAAAGCAGACACGAGCTCTGAAGATAAAAAATAAATCTACTTACTTGTGTATGAAAAGATGTATTTGGCTAAAAGGCATTAAAGATGCGGACTGACGGGAGTTTAACTTTTAACCTGGACGATTCCCAGAGATAAATCATTTAGTCTGACAAAGATAACGAACGCGAGCTCTAAGGATAAAAGTAATTAAAGAAATACTAAAATATGCAGAGCATGTACGGGAGTATAAATGTAGCTCAGTGAGACAATTCGGCAGTGGATAGCTGGATTTTGTTTCTTTCTGGTTGCATTTATACAAGTAAGATTATTTAGTAGACTTGCGCGCGTTTTGGTAAAAATGATTAAATTTTCACATGTCTTATTTATTTACAAGTTAAACTTTTTTATATTATAAGTAGTTATCTTTATGATAAGGTTTAACATCTTTTGTAAAATTATTTACAGTAATTATAAATATTAGAAATAGATTGTTTACTTTAATAAAGAGTGGAAAGCTGGATTTTGTCTCTTCCTGGTTGCATTTATACAGGTTGGGTAACATCGCCACTCCCAATAATCTGCCCTGTACATACAGAAAGAGAATAAAAGATCCCAGGGAGATAAGATGCAAACTGGATCATTGAGAACCTGATTCACTTTTTCTGGTCAGGACCAGGGAATTGGATGAAGGTTTTCCCTGGCCCTTAAAACCTCTCACATGCGGAAAAGCGAAGAACGATCCCGGGAATTTACATCCAGATCTAGTACCCAGACAAATAATATAAAAATCCAAAAACAAATTCACAAAACAAACAAACCAAATCCCCAAAAAGAGAACATTTTAATTTTATGAAATTAATTAAAAAGTACATGTTCCTGAAATTTTAAAGATAGAAATTTCAATATCTCAATTTCTACATCCTTTGTACATATTTGTCATCGTTTGAATTGCTCCTGAAAAAAGAAAAAAAAATTGTGATTCCCAGGGCTCGAATTGGCGATTTTTGATTGTCCCAATTTTTTCCCCGAAGTTCACAAATTGATAACCATTTTGACCTGGCCATCGTCGAATTCGAAACTTTCAACATTTTTAAGAAATTTTAATTTTTAGAAATGGGAAAAAGAAAACAGAGGATATTATTTTTAGCTATAGACATGTGTTTTCTTGGTCACCTTCTTGTTTTTTAGTAAGCACACATCCCTTTGTTGATTGCTTTTAACCTTTAAAAAATGCATGGCCTCATAAAATTTGCATTTGCGACTGCAAGCATACATGAATTCTTTTGATTAAACGCCAGCTGGTGCCCAAATATTAAAGATTACTCAGAAGCCTGCCCCAACCCCCTTCTGGAGACCGGAGATAGAATTTTGTGTTTCTTACATATAATAACGAATGTCATATTACTCATAATATATAACTTAAATTGCGGTAAAAAATGGTTTCAAATGCAGACAATCCTATAGTAAAAACAAATTGTATTTTGAGATGGTTCCTGAAAATAGAAGGCAGAGTTTACTGAAACTTTGCATGTACACTAATCAATATACGCTGCATATGGCCACCTCTGATGTTTTGGGGTAAGTGTTTGCTCTCAGCTGCTCTTATTTTGTATTATTTTTATGGACTTTGAGATTGAATACTGTTCGTTATCTCCATATCCTTCTTCATGGTATAGGTTAGGTTTAATTAAAGATTATTAAATATACATGTACCTTAAAAGAAAACAAGCTACAATTGATCATAACTTTATTTGAGAGAAATTGCAACTGTGGTTTTTAGGGCCTGCACGGCCATTATATACCCAAGAACCGGTTCCGTTGTCCATTAGTGGTTACATAACTTGTTGACTTTTTCGGTAATCATGTGATCTGACATGTGGTAAGCTTGTGATTAGTGTTTCGTAACTCAAATTAAATATAAACCTTTGCTTCATTTATAATTCTGTATTTCATAAATTCAATTAAAGATATGTTCAAAGTCATTTAGTATGGACAAAATCTGCATTGTTAGTCCAGAGGAACACTAAATTTTCACTATCAATGAAGATCAACTAAATATATATTCATGGACATGTATCTCAGCTCATATTAACAAATTTCAATCTGATCATTGCAAATAGTGTCGCTATCAACTCCTGATTCCAAATTCTTTGATTTGTAAATCTGAAACTTATTTTGACTCTATCATAAAACTACATTTAAACTTCATCTTTAGCGTTACTGAAGAATATTTTGTATTCTCATCAGTGAAGCATGTTTTATTTCATTTAATGGTACTTGTGAAAGTGACTGTTGATACGCGTAAAGAGCCGCCTGTGGATTCCCTGTGACCTGGTAACAGATTCCTAGGATCTGCCATGATATGTCTCTTAGACGTTCTTGTATGATCCTCCTCTGAGGATGGTCTACTAGATTCTGGAGATAAGATAAAAGTGTTTGTACTTTTGTTGTATCAACATGACGGTAGCACAAGATCTCCAGCATACACAAGAGTACCAATACAGGGATAACCAACGCACCTTGTCTCTCCTGTAAACTAGACTGTTGTTCAGGCAATAATTCATCGATGTAACAGATATTATTGTTGAGGAAGACATCCCTTCTTGTAAAGAACCTCATTTTTAAAGTCAAGGACAATCCTCTAACAGCTTCGGTGTACATATCCGTAGTATAAGATAATTTATATAACTGTAAGTCTTTTGCCATTTCTATAACAAGCAATGCGTCCACAAATCTCATTGTCTTGTAGTAATACATAGCCATATAAACCATATCAGATGTGCAGCCAAACTTGCCAGTTAATTTCAGTATGCGATGGGACATTCTGTCAGCAATATACACCATTTTGTTTCGACAAGCTTTGATGTACATGTTGTTTAGTATAAAGGCAATTTCATGGAAGATGGAGGTTGTGTGTTTCTGTAGGGTGGCAACATGATATGGCGTCAAGGGTGTATTTATCAACTGTTCTACAGCTCGTAGGCATTTCATACAGCGTAGCAGGTTTGCTATTCCGTATACATCTTCACACGTTATGCAATTAAAAAGGGTTAAATCAATTTCAAACTCAGGGAACAAGTTGCCTTCGTCTGTACAAATAGATAGTCTCGGGTTATAAAGAACTTTTAAAACATAGGGCCAGATGGAGGAACTGTGTAGCAGTGATATCAAACCCTTCTCATAAAACGCATGCAGCCTAATGAACAATTGGTTTTGCTTATCACCATGGATTTTACTCAGATACATATTGTTTTGTGGAATGAAAAAGTTAGGACAGACCCCTTCATATACCCATTTAAGGATCAGTTTGAAGCACTTCCAAAAACACAACAGGAGATTTTGTGGACACCAATGAGGTACAGTATTTCGTTGAATCACCCAGAAAACGGCTGTCTTCATGTGGTAGGAACATAGTAGTTTATCCTCTTCTCCTAATCCATTGTTTATGACTTCCTTTAAAATCAATTTCAGAAATCCATACGTTAAGAACTGAGTGTGGTTCATTGAGTACACAAGTATTTGTTCTGCCCGTGAGAAAGAAATTCTCCATTCATGGTCTTCATAATTGCTCAGTTTATGTCCAATTGGTACAAAGTGACATCCACTTCTGATTATGTCCCACACAACATGAGGTTGGGGCCATGAGTGACATCTGTCTATCCAAGAGGCTGCAGGTGGAGGCCAAAAGTCAGTGGCAAAACAGTGGGCATAATCATATTCTACTCCAGCATGAATTCGACTGGCGCAGGGTCCATGTAGAGTAGAGACAGGGTGTACTACTGGACGCATGTTTTTTCTGTATAGAGAACTAGATATTAAAAGGTAACCGTTTCTCCTGACAAGTGCTGACAGAATGTCCATGCTCTCTATTGATATAATGCATGATGATGTTTTTATGCTGCCTGAAGGAATCAAAAACCGAAGTAAAGAGAACCCTGGAGGACTTATGGAACAGTCACAGAGAAATAATTTGTATCTGTGGTTGTTGTAGTACCGAGTCTGAGATAAATTCCAGACTACACGCTGATTTGTATGCCAGAATATTAAGTCTATATCTGATGTTTTTAGTCTGAATCCTTCTCTGAAGCTTCCACTTGTCATTCTAGTGTCTGAATTACTATCACTATTGACGTGATATGTCAATATCTCTGTGAGGTCTATCACATCTCTTCTCATGGCCACCTGTCGAGAGGTCCCCACTTTGTGACATAGTCCCATAAACACCGACTCTGATACATGTTGTATGGTTGATTCACTATATATTCACAAACAGAAAGTAACATAAGACAAAGAGAAAAATTTTAAAAAGCACCAAAAATTTATTTCATTTATTATCTAGATATAAAGTGTACATTATATTTCACCTAAAATAAACTACATTTATCATCAGGATATAAAGTTGATATAATACTTTAATTTATTGATTAAAGTTGTATTGTTTTATATTTCTGTAAGAAATAATTTAATATTGAAACAAAACTTACATCAGAGATTGTGTATTTGAATCCATTTTTCAGACAAGACTAATAAAATGCTTTTTGTACTTTGTCTTGGTACATGGAAATTCTGCGGAACTTCCTCATGCCTTCTGTGTTATTATTTAAAGTTCATAACTTAATGATAAGGACATAACTGACGTTTTTACATTTTTCATCAAAATTCAAAGAGGGGAGTGTATTTGAACAGGTAGACTGTATGTTACATATAGAAATGTCACAATATATCACATTCGAAAATGTTCATTTTACCTCCAGTATATTAAGTGGAATACAGTAAAATGATTTATAAAATTTCTAAATCTATCTTTTTTATCTTGAACCTTGTGAATTTTCATTTTCATAGGCTCAACAATATTGTATGTCACATATAGAAATGTCACATTTTGTCACATTCGAAAATATTCATTTTACCACCAGTATATTAAGTAGAATACAGTAAAATGATTGATAAAATTTCTACATCTATGTATTTTATCTTGAACCTTGTGAATTCTCAGTATCATAGGATCAACTATATTGATCAACTTCTGTCATGTCTTCCCATGCATTCGTATTTTGAGGATTTTTAACCCGCGGTATAGCGATATTTCACTGCTGTCGTAGTCCGCAGAGATTGTTAGAAAATTGTTCGAAAATTTGAAAAAAGTTCGATGTAAATTATCTGACGCTAAACATCGTTTAAGTTAATTATTTATTAGAATTTTTAAAAAGTAAATGAATTTGTTGAAAATTTTTATTTCAAAGATAGAGCTGATTAAGCCTATGGGTCACTGATTTCTTTTGTATTTTTTTTTCATTTACACAATAGTTCCAAGAAAATTTTCACTTACATTGCTTGGTTTGGCAATCTTTAAAACATAGAAAACGATCGCTGCCATGTGACCCCCCCCCCCCCAAAAAAAAAATACGGACGGACTTTGACGAAAGAAAAGCTTATACAATAAGAAAAAAGAATTATATAGTACCACGGAAAGATTAGGTCTAAGTCATCGGACTTCAATTTATTCAAACAGGGCCCTTCAAGGGGAAATGTATATGGTAGGTTGGAACTCAAAATCTTATTTAAGAGGATCGACTGTGATTTCCCTGCGGTGTAGTGAAATAAAGTGTACTTACAATCTTAAAGCAATTTAATTAACGTAATCAAATTTAGAAAATCAGAATAAAGTAATAAATGATTTTTTAAAAATTATTATTAGAATAACTGGGTTTTTTTTTAAACGATTTACTGATAGGCAGATGGGTCATTTAAGTGTGTTAGTGACATTGAGATAAGCAGTAGTTCTCTAAGAGATGGTTATTAAAAAGTTATATTAATTAAAAAGTATACATGTTCCTGAAATTTTAAAGACAGGGATTTCAATATCTCATATTTATTTTTGTTTTTTTTTTCTAAATCCTTTGTACATATTTCTATCATTTGAATTACTCTTGAAAAGAATAATTTTCCCCAGGGCTCTACTTTGCGATTTTGATTAGCGCCAAAAAATTTTTCCATAAGTCACCAAATTGGTAACCATTTTGAATTGCCTTGAAAATCGTCGAATTCCGGAACTTGAGTTTTCTTGGTCATCTTCTGTTTTTTAGTAAGCAAATGTCCAATGTTGATTACTTTTAACAAAAAAAAAATACATGGCAACAAACAATTTGCATTGTCGACTGCAACCATGCATGAATTCTTTTGATTAAACGCCAACTGGCACCCAAATTTTAAAGATTACTTAGAAGCCTGCCCCCACTCAACCCCTTCTGGAGACCAGAGGTAGAATTTTGTGTTTCTTACCTATACACGGCCAGGAACACGTTAAGTTCTTAGACAGTACCGTTGTCAGAGACCTTTAAAGTTAAGCACTGAAAATGTTCGTTGTCATGAACTTACAGGGGAGGTTATGATAAAATCCGTCCGGTGTCATGACTTGAGATGACAGGTCGTGAGCAGTTTTTTTTCAATTTTAAGTTAAATTATTTTTAACCAGTGTCTAAAATTGCAATGGGAAATGGGCTGACACCCTTTTTGGTGTTGTAAGATTTTGAACCTTTAAGAACAGATGACACAAACAAAAAATAGATGCTTTGATTGGTATATATTTTTGGTCTTATTTCATTGAAAATAATGTTAAAATAAATTTCTAGAATATAAAGAAATTGTAAACCTTCTATGATGTTCAAAATTCTACCTCTCTAAAACCATTCTTATTAATATATACAAATATTTTTCACTCCAACTTCCATTTTTGTGAGAATTTGAATAAAAATTGATCTATGCGGTTAAGCTTATTCATTTTACTCATTAAAACATGACTCAGGTAGTTAATTTCAAAAGTTTTGGACAAAAGTTTGTTTGTATCATCTGTCCTTAAAATGAAGTAATAAAAGAAGAGTTTGCGTTGGCGATATTAAACCCTGTTGAAACCACATGTGAATTTGATTCATTTTTATTCTGAGATGTTACATTTTTCGTAAATATATACCAATGGGTGCAGACAGTACCAAAACATGTTGTAAGCCTTTACATAAAAAAATCGAACTGATTAAAACTGAAATTTTTGATTTATTCTAATTTATGTCAGTTGTCATGATAAGATACGAAAATGCAGTCCGTTGTCATCGGTCCGTTGTCCCAACTGTATTGAATACAACATGAAGGAGCCCTATCTAAGCAAATATTCCTTCAAAAAATGTAGAAGGATGGAGGAGAGAGAGGGGTGGTGGAGCCAACCAGTCATAAGAAACTAAAAATATTATTTTAAGATTTTGTTGGTTAGAAAAAGGAAAAACCATTTTCAAAGTGAATGAAAAGCAATTGTATTTTGAGTTGGTTCCTAAAAATAGAAGGCAGAAATTACTGAAACTTTGCATGTACATTAATGTCAAAATACGCTGCACATGGTATAAAAGTAGAGGTTTACTATTTTTTTTACACACAAAAAATCTAGATGTACTTTTAGATATAAATTACAGTTTTATTTTTTACTCAGTTTGGTTGTCTCTGCATGCTTTACATCAAGTCAGTCAAAGGAAAGCGTTACTAAGACTTGAATTAGAAAAAAATCAAAAACATAAATGCACGTTCAAATACCGCGTAAGTTTAGCTCACATAGATTTTGCACAAATTAACTACATTAATAAAGCATATATACTGGAGTAGTAATCCTCTCTCTTAATTACCAATGAGAACGTATGAATTAGTCCAGGCTTTTGGGTATCATTGACAGCTGTTTTCAATAATAATGGAACTCGTAAATTTATTTACCTGGCCATTGGTCATTTGCAAAATTATTTTGTAAAAAAAAAACATTCTGATTGTATACACGGGTACTCTGAAGTTGACATTAAATACATGCTGGAGTTTCTGATTGACAATATCTATGTCGTTTTTGGAGACCAGGTCTTCCAACAATCTATCGGAATTCTCATGGGTACCAATTGCGCCTTGTTATAAGCAAACATATTTATGTATTCATATGAAGCAGAATTTGTGCAAAATCTTATGCGTGAGAAGAAGAAAACACTTGCTGTGACGTTCAATTCGACATTCAAATATATTGGCAATTAACAATGGCAATTAATTTCCATTCCTATGTCGAAACGATATATCCTGGTGAGCTTGCGATAAAAGATACCACAGAGTCTGACACGTCTGTTTCATACTTGGATTTTTACTTGCTCATTTAAGTCATCATTTCGTAAGATCTTTGGTCGATAGAACGGACCTTGTCAGCGAATACAATTTATCATTGAGTCAGATGCTGACTTATGTTTTTCATGCTAACTGTTCATCACACTGAATTGACGACATATTTTTCCGTTATTTCCTGATCATGACAAGGAGCTCATGGCGGGTGTGACCGGTCGGCAGGTGATGCTCACTCCTCCATGGAACGTGATCCCACCTCTGATGTTTTGGACGTCTATGTTCGCTCTGATCCTATTTTGTACTGCTTTATGGACTTTGATTTTGAATACTGTTCGTTATCTCCATATCCTACATTAATGAAAGTACTCTTTAATATATCATCATCATGGCACATGGATCGAGACAGAATTCCTGTCTTACTGAACAACTACAGAAGTTGAATATCAGATCGATATTATAGGGTTATTGAACTTATATTGGTGAATATTGGCACGAGTTGGCTGTTCAAATGCACGAGCTTGCGAGTGCATTTGAACAGCCAACGAGTGCCAATATTCACCAATATAAGTTCAATAACTCCTTTATTATATAGCTTAAACATTTCCACATGATTTATAATAATTATTCCTACTAAAAAAAACCTCAAATTGATGATTTTTTTAGTATCGGTATTCAAATTAACGTCTGTCCTGTTAGCGTTCAATATCGCATCATTCCGATGATCCTACCGAGCGATATGATTTGGTTATTTAGGTTTTAATGGGTCAAATACGTACATGTACTGTATTTTAATAAATAATTTCCTTTTTGTGTGAAAAATAAACACATCTTACCTAAATGCCACTTCATTTCTTTAGTTTAGGTCTGAGAATTAGACCAGACGACTTTTTTTGTTTACAACGGGGCGTTCGATATTGAACGCTCGTATTCGGAATGTTTCGGGCATACTCGTATACGTAATACAAACTCAGCCTTCAATAAAACGTCAAGATATTGAATGTTAAAATTTTCTAGATTTTTGGTAGTATTTTAATAAACTATTTATAAGCTATATAATAACACGGGTTTATCGTATGTTGTTT